GCTCACGGATTGGGATTTTTGGAGGACTCTTGGATTGGCCTCTTAGAACTAGACCTAAATCTACTATAAGATTGGTGTTTCCTCTTTTGGGATGATTTAAAAAACTATACTTATTGGAGTTTAGTTTCCTATTCCATCTTAAATTCATGATGATCCTTGTAGACATCATCCTCCCGTCAATGTTTATTAGACAACTTCTTGTGCACACAAAGTGTGTTGCTAATTACCCTTGTCTCGCAGGTAATTTTTCCACAAGAATCTCAAATACCTCAAGTCTCTTATCTCTTATGGGATTTTTTTCGAGAGTAATTTGGTCCTTTTTGAGATCACATAAAAGATTTTAAAGTGTTTAAAAAGAAAAACATACCCATCATGACAAGAAGACATGAAACCATTAGAGTCGGAGCTTCTATTCCAATAAGGATATTTATCAGCAACGATAGAGATATAATCGACAATGAGCTGCTGAAAACAGTTGTGGGAGTAACCCAAGATTGAGGTGATGGGTTCATAAATGAAGTGAATAAGTTTGGTGACGACTAAAGGTAGAAAATCACATAAGCCTTGCCTTGATGCAAAGTTATGGAAAAACACAGGAGTAGTTTGGGATCTTTTTTATTTTTTATTTTGAATTAGTTCACACTAGTTTAGATTAAAAAAATAACATGTCAAATACGACGTAACATCTGATGTGACATTCAATTGACACTTGCACCACTAAAAAGATATTATGAGTCAATAAATTTAACATATGGCACCCTAAGTTAACGATGTTAATTTCTCTGAATGGAAAATTTGAATTTTTTTAAAAAATATAAGGATTAATTTGATAAAATATGAGGTAAGGACTAATTTGAACATAAGTAAATGATACAGACACCAAATCATTATTTTAGCAAAACTAAACATGTATGTACATGGTTACATATTGTTTAAAATGAAAGAAAATGAATTGTCTTTGATATATTTATTAGATTCACTGATACTGTAAATGTATTAAATTCTATTGAACAATTTATACTCAATAAATTTATGAAGAAATTTGTTAAATGTCTTTGAAATCATGAGATACTAAAGTGACAGCAACATAAGAGACCAAAGACCTCAACAAGCTAAGCTTGCATAAACTCTTCAAGTCACTCGTGAAAAATTAGTTGATTATGAAGTGAACAAAGGATTAAGATAAAACAGAAAAAAAAAAAAATCATTGCATTGAAGGCCTCTACATCAAATGATAAGAGTAATGAGGAAAAATAAATATGGATGAGGAGTTTATTTTCCTCACAAAATAGTTTAAGAGATATATAAGAAAGAATAAATTTGGAGGAAAAAAGTTCTCTTACAAATTTGAAACAAAAAAAAAAAAGAACCCTAATATATTGTGGATGAAACAAGCTTAACCATATCATAGCAAATTACTGTCAAGCCAAAAAAGTTCCCAAGAAATATAAAGAAGGTCACAACATGATAATAGCCATAGAAAAGAAGAAGAAAAATGTGTAAAAATTTTGTGTCTCATGGTAATTGATGAAGAAAATGATAAGGTAAATTCTAACATTGATTTCTTGCTTTTGAAAAACTTCATGGTGGCCTAATAAATATATAATTAAAAAATAGTGAGCTTAAAAAGCTTGCATCAAGAATCCTAAAAGAATTTGACTTCTTGAAAAAAGAAAACGGGCTTCTTAAATGCATATTAAATGAACTATATGATAAGAACTTAAAAAATATTCTTTATTGAGTTTTCACGATGAAAACATTACTTAGGCAATGAGGAAATCCTTGTTTTGTGTATTCTAAATCTTTAGAGTTTGGCAAAGATGATTAAGGAAGATGAATGGGATGAACGAAAGAGATTGAAGAAGTAAACAATCAAAAATAAAAAAATAATTGCTAATTTTACACTTTACAATATTTTATCCTTACATAATTGGACATTACTTCATCAATCAATAACTTATTCTGATTCATGCATTCTCCTATTAATGAACATGGAAAGACCCTAAAATGTGTCCTTTACTACTTAAAAGGTACTTTTGTTATACGTTATTTTTCTTCCAAAATAATTCCTTAATCTTCAAATTTTTCCAATGGTGATTAGGGTAGTGATATGAATGATCAATGTAGTATAACTGGTTATGCTATATAAATGGGATAATGTTTGAAATGCCCTGCTAACTATTTAAAGGTAAAGAAAAATTCATATTAAGAAGTAATAATATACAACAACAACAACAACATTAATAAAAGATCAATAACTTGATAAGATACGATCAAAAATAAATAATGTAGAAATAAATCAATACAAGAAAAATAGCCTTCTTCCCTAGCCCCCTAAAGAAACCTAGAGACTCGGGTGTAATATATCAAATGCACACAATATAAATAAACATAAAAACCAATAGAAACACACAATATAAAGAAACCTAATATAAATGTAGCCCCTTAAAGTGGCCCGTAACAAACTTGAATAATAGAAATAAAAAATAAAAGACAAAGATCATAAGCTCTAAAATTGCAACTGAACTTAAAATGAAGTGGATAATTGTAAGATCAATAATGCCAGATATTAACTTTAGGGGGGGGGGGGGGGGGGTAGAAAGGACACCGAATGACAACCACAAAAAATGAACACAAGCACAACATCACTCAACTGCCATTACTTAACAAAAAATCAACATCAAGCATATACACCTAATATCATAAAGATGCTTCATTATGAAAATTACACTAGTTAGAGAAACCCTAATAAGGAAGAGACATAGACTACCCGAACATATGTACCATTAAATGGAAGCAATGTGACCAAAACAATGCCTAGGTATGAAAAAAATACAGTTGAGGGGCAACCTTAGACAATGAAACCTACACCTAACCGTAAATAACACTTCTAAGAAAAATGATACTTCTATTTTAAAAAGAACAATATATTTGATACTTTTATTTTTTATTATTCTAAACTATTAGTATTGCTCCAGACATAAGGACTTATGTTATAGAGAGTTAGACCTCTGTCTACTTTTGTTCTTTTCTCAATTTTGATATGATTGATACAAGTGTTATGTTTAGGATTCTATTGTTGTGCTTGATCTTCTTAGCATCAAGAACTTTACAATTCCATATCCTAATTATTTTATTTAAACTCTATTATTGTATTTTATGATACTTTTTTGTAACATCATAAAAATTAATGCACAAATGTGAGAGTAATAGAAATGGCATTAAATTCTCTCATTATGTACACATTGTTATATCTTTAATAAAGCTTCTTACTTTTCAAAAAAAGAAAAAAAAAGGAAAAAAAAAACGTGGAAATCCTTTTGAAAATGTTTTAAAAACTTTATACTTGATTTCAAGATATTTGACTATTGGGATACACATTGAAGACTATAATCTCAGCCTCTTTCAATATCTGAATCTATCTGCATAAGTAAGAAATGGCATTTGACTGCATTCTTAGTTTAATATTTTGTTCTTATTATTTTTTTTTTTTTTTCAATTCAGAACTTTTGACTGAGACTAATTTTCCAAAAATACCAGCCAAAGGAAATTAATACACACACACACATTATACATATAAGATCTAATTGATGTTGAAATTCTGTAAAGTCATAATATGCCTATTCATTGATTTGATAGCTGAGAGAAAAAGGGATTGAATTTGTTGAATTAATTGAATTTATTCTTTGATTGGCATGCAGAGATAATTGTAATTAAGAATCTTATGTAATTAGCTAGACAAGAGTTGTTGTCACAGTTGCAGGGCCATGGCAACCTGCCTTTCAAGTATCAACTTGGACCCACGAATTAAAATAATAAGTCAAGCTTAGTTTATTACTCATTTTATATATCTAATAATTCATCATAAAGCTATCCTCTTTCATAATTATGTATAGGGTCACCTTAAACGGCTACAAATTCCCAATCTTTTATAAACATAATTAACTTCAATTTTGAATTTTTATTTCCAATAATCATTTATTATTCAATTTTTATTTTATATACATATACATATGGTTTTATTAGAGTTAATAATTAATTAAATTTTTTTATCAATTTAAATTTGTGGGTTAAATAATTCGTTAAAAAAAAAATTACATTAAAAATTAAGTGTGTACAAGGGCTTGGTGGGTCTATATATGTTTAATCTAGACTATCAATTTCGTGGATTTATATGTGATAGAACTTAATAAAATATAAGTAATTAATTAATTTTTTTTTCTTTAGCTTAAAATATTAGGATAATCTATTTATAAATAATATTTAATATGTAATTACAATTAATTTATTTTCTTTCAACTTTTGTTGTAATTTAATACTCAAGTCAAGTCAACTGCATTTCCTAATTACTCTCTCTAAATTAATCATATATCATAACAGGTTATTAAAATTCAAAGCTCAGATTAGCACTAATTAAAATTAATATTGACCGTTCTAAATTATTAATTAATTACGTTATAGTTCCAAGTCTAAATGCTTGCTTGAATAATTCTGTAGTGCATTATTTTCAATATTTATATTGTAGGTGGGGGGATGGGAGGGGAAAAATCCAAATTATACCACTATGTGATGACGTGTTCTCAATTCATTGGTTGACAAGATTAAATTGGAGTCTTATATATAAGCAAAAGACGTAAAAATAATGGGGAAAAAGAAGCTGCTGGTGCCTCTTTCTATATTCCATAAAACAATATATATACATATACATATATATGTAAACTAACTAAACCCCTTAAAGGAAAATTCACGAAAAAAAAAAAAAGAAAGAAAAGAAAAGAAAAACCTTATAAATATGGAAGGTAGGGTTAGGGTTTGTCATCTTTAATTAGTATTATTATGATTTTCCTTGTAGCTGACTCCACATATAAATTAAGCTGAGTTTTCTTCCTTTGGTTCACATCTTCAAGGTTTTGAAGGATAAACACGTGATTAAAAAGCCCGAATTTATACGGAAACCTTTGTATAAAAATTAGGGTTTTGATTATAAGGAGACCGTCATCATGAAGAAACGTCAAGTGGTGCTGAAATCTGGAAGAAGCTCTACAACATCATCATCCATGGTGAGAAGTGTGAGATATGGAGAGTGCCAAAAGAATCACGCTGCGAATATCGGAGGATATGCTGTTGATGGTTGCAGAGAATTCATGGCGAGCGGCGAAGAAGGAAGCAACGGAGCGTTGACTTGCGCAGCTTGTGGGTGTCATCGGAATTTTCACCGGAGAGAAGTGGAAACTGAAGTGGTTTGTGAGTATTCTCCTCCTAATTCTAGTGGCAGATAATCTTTTAAAAGTTTATAAACTCAGAATACGAAAGAAAGAGGAACAAACATTTTATATGATGTAAAACTCTCTAAATATAATTGCAATTGTTATCAATTGTTCTATTAATATATTTTTAATACAAGCAATTGGAATTTATTGATATGTATCAAAGAAATTTGAAGTTTCCATGTTCAACTTTTGATTTTGAATATTTGGAATACATATATATATATATATACACACACATATGAACTTTTCATCAATTAAACTTTGAACTAAAGAGAGGCGTTTTCTCTCATGATCAATGGTGATCTCTTTTCTCTAATTCTGTTTACCCTTCTCTTTGTGGCCTTCCATCAAACATGTTAGGGTTCTTACTACTTAAACGATATCAACTGAACTTGCTGAGGAATATGAGATTGAAAATTGAAATTCTTGTCATCAAAAAGAAAATCAATAAATAGATTTGACCAAAAAAAAAAAAAGATTAAGAAACAAGGATGAATGTATATATGAGTATATATATGCAATACACGTAAAATATTATATGTATGTCTTAGTTTATCTACAGATACCCAAAATATATCTAATACCAATTGCCTGTATATTGTGAGTTTCTCTTGTTTATTTATTATACGAGCCATATATATACGCAAGAACCCAATTAATTCAAAATCTTTACTTTAGAAAACCTGGAGAAGTTGTTGGGTTAATTAATATATCAATTTGTTTTTCTTGCATGTAATCACTAGCTGTCTAATTTATGTCAAATCAGTTTGACAAAATACTAATTATTATTTAATTTATTAGTTCGTATATACATTCTTTTTTTTTAAAATGAAGTTATAAGTTTGAGTTATGATACACTATTGTGAGTGTTTTTTTTTTTTTTTCAAAATTATTTATATTATATTATGATTAATAAATGAAATCAGAAAAAAATAATAATAATAAGAAAATGGACAGACAGAGTGAAAAACATATATATACACACACACACATATGTATAGGAGAAACTTTGAATGCAGATTTAATTGTACAAGCCAATTAATTAATGTTCAGGCTGATTAAGAATACAGTCAATATTGAACCCTTTCAAAATTACTTTGCTTAGCTGAATAAACAAAAAATTAGATAATCTACATATCAACTTTATAATATATAGTAGAAACAAACCTCTGGGTATAATCCTTTTCCATATCTCTCTGCTGTAAATTATTGACATGATTTAACATGACTGCAAAAGATATAAATTAACATATATAAATATATCTATATGGGTATATATAAATTGAGGCAAAGTAGAATCCATATATGAGCGGAACCAAATGGTTAAAAAATGTTATCTCTTGTCTTCCATATACATATGCTGCTTGCTATATGTACTAGCAAAATAGCTAGCTAGTGTAGTGTAGTGTCACTACAGAATGAAAGAATTAGCATCCATTTGTTTTTTTCTTTTAGAAAAATAAAATCTTTGTGGTGCTGGGATACTCTTAATTTATCTTTGTTCTAATCATGTAGAATTTGGAATTTTAAAAATTTCAGAAGGCCCACATATATCCAATCATGTTATCACATATATATATATATATTCATAATAAAGAAAGATACATACATATATATATATATATATTACAATAATGTTTTAAAATTTCTTCAATAAACTAATTATTAACAAATAAAGCTCCAAGAATCAGAACTGGAAAGCTTATGGTTTTGTATCTCATGTGGGTCTAGTGAAGGTGTAAACTTGTAGTGCTAGCTACTCAGTTTTGGGGGTATCTATGTAAGTAATTGAACATATTTGAGCTTATGAATATATATATATATTTATATATATAAGTAATGCTTCAAGAATCAAAACTATTGGCCTTCCTCTGTGCTAAGTGGTAACTGTAATTACTTGCTAATTAAGAAAAGATTAAATATATGCATTGGGAGAAAATATCTTTATTTTAATTATTAGTCTTTTAAGAATTGGAAACAGTTCCTCTTACACTGTAAGTATATAAGCATCCACCAATGTTTAATTACTTTAAACATGGCTTTCATGTAATACGACTAATAATTAAAATAAAAAACTAAATTTTCATCCTTGTGGAGTCATCAGAAGAAGAACAAGGTGGAGGAAGGAGACGCGTTGAAAGACTCTGTTATCTTTTAGCCTCGACTCAGACGCCAGACCTTCTTGCAGGCGAAGTTAAATGAAGCTCTGTGTCTTGCAAATTCCTTGGAGGAACAGAAAGATGGTTATTTTTTAATATTTTAAAATAGTATAGCAACTAATTTGATATTTTGGCATATATATATATATATATAAATATATCTATATATGTATGTATGAAAATGTCTTCCTTTTAATTCTTCTTCAAATATACAGACACATGAAACAAAAGAAAAAGACCCACACTGATTAGAATAGATTTTGTTTGTTGACTGTTGCTGCTGGG